CAGAGAGACAGGTGGATAGTGAGACAGACAGACTGCTGAGAGAATCAGACTGAAAGGCAGACAGACAAAATGACAGGTACGCAGACAGAGACAGGGAGAAGGAAATGGAAAGACAGACCAAGAGATGGAGAGAGACTGATAAAGAGACAGAGTTGAGAGAGACAGATAAAGAACAGACAGCAAGAGACAGAGACATGCAGAGAGAGAGAGATGGACATAGATGCAGATAGACAGGTAGAATCAGACACACAGAGTGACAGAGAATGAGACAGGCAAGCAGATAGACAAAAAGAGAGAGACAGGCAGACAGAGACAGACACAGATACACAGAGAATGAGACTGCTGGCAGATAGAGACAGACAGTGATAGAGGCACAGAGGGAAACAGAGAGAGGTGGATGGAGACAGAGATGGACAGAAGGACAAGGACAGAGACACAGGAGTATTCAGACATACAGACACAGAGAGTGCAAGAGACAGAGACTGTCTTCCATAGTGGCTTTACCAGTTTGCATTTCCAGCAACAGTGGATTAGTGTGCCTTTTCCCCCACATCCTTGCCAGCATCTGTTTGTTGATTTCTGTATGAGGGCCATTCTAATCAGTATGAGGTGAAACCACATTGTGGTTTTCATTTGCATTTCCCTGATGGCTAGTGATCTTGAATATTTTTTCATGTGTCTATTGGCTGTTTGGATTTCCTCTTTTGAAAAATATCTGTTTAGGTCCTTGGCCCATTTCTTAAATGGGTTGTTTTGTTGTGGTAGAGTTTCTTGATCTCTTTTTAGATTCTGGTTATTAATCCTTTATCAGTTGCATAGTTTGCAAATATTTTCTCCATTCTGTTGGTTGCCTCTTCACTTTCCTGACTGTTTCTTTTGCAGTGCAGAAACTTCTCAATTTTATGTAATCCCAGTCAGTTGTTAATTTTGGCTTTGATTGCCTGTGCCTATATCTTGCAGGGTTTCTCTGATGTTCTCTAATAATTTGATGGTGTTGGATCGTAGATTTAGATCTTTAATCCATGTTGAGTGGATTTTTGTATAAGGTGTAAGGTAGGGGTCTTGCTTCATGCTTCTGCACATGGAAATCCATTTTTCCCAGCACCATTTGTTGAATAGACTGTCCTTGCTCCTGGAATTGGTTTTAGATCCTTGATCAAATATAAGTTGGCTGTAGATGTTTGGATTGATTTCTGGTGTTTTTATTCTGTTCTATTGGTCTATCCATCTGTTTTTTTACCAGTACCAGGCGGTTTTGATTATAACTGCCCTGTAGTATGTCTTGAAGTCTGGTATTGTGATGCCTCCGGCTCTGTTTTTGTTGTATAAGATTGCTTTAGCTATTCAGCGTCTCCTGTGCCTCTATATGAATTTCAGCATCATTTTTTTCCAGATCTGAAAAGAATGTCTTTGGTATTTTGATTGGTATCGCATTGAATCTGTAAATTACTTTTGGAAAAATGGACAGTTTGATGATATTCTTCCAATCCATGAACATAGAAAATTTTTCCATTTTTTTTGTATCCTCTTCTATTTCTTTTTTTGAAGTTTTGTAATTTTCATCAGAGAGGGTGGAGATATGATCTCCTCTGTTGTAATCATACCCTCGCTTCCTTTTCCAAGGTGATCAGTGCCCAGGGTTAGCCCACAGTGGGTGCAGCCCTCAAACCGCACCACCACATGAACTGCACAAAGGACCTGTGCAGTCCTCAGTATGAGCATGGGTCCCTCTGCAGTGGCCCATCCCAGGCAGTCGGGGAGCAACGAGCCTCTCGTGCCAGACACAGTGATTGCCCAGAGACCGAGCTACACCCTGTGCCCTGTCATGCAGTCAGAGTTATAGTCACGGAGTTCAAGACTCCCACAGTCACAGGGTGCAGGCGATTTGCTCCGACCCACTAGCCTGTCCCGTCCATGGAAAGCACAGAAACGTTCCAAAGCCAGCTGCCTGTGGGTGCTCCGCCTTGGCAGTTTGAGTCCTGGAGCCTGTGATAGGTTGAGAAAATGGGGGCACCTCACAATGCTAAATGGGTTCCCAGCCCCCTGTCTATCCTCCCAGCCAGACTCAAAGTCAGTCGGGAATGCAGCTTTTTCCCTCTGGTAAAATCCCCTGGTCAAATGGGTGCACGAGAGCCACTGCAGCCTCTACTTGTGTCAAAACGGCACCTTCTCCCTGCCGGTTGCCAGGCGCCCTTGGTGGGGGATGGATTGGAAGAAACGTGATTTCCTTCTGCTGGATTAGCTGGGTACACTGCGCCGCAGCTAGGGCCCCAGGCTGGACTCAAAGGCAGTATGGTCTGCAAGGCTCTCCCTCGGTGGCATGGGCTTCCAGTCTGCTCTCCCCTCACTCTCCTAAGCTGACATCTCCTCCAGTTCCTGGCTGCGGGGCTCAAGTGTTGTTTCTCTGCTTGTTGCGCGTCCACACCTTCCTTGCTGCTCCATCGCATCTCTTCCTTCTGTAGAATTTCCACGGCACGCTTCTCTCCGACTCTCCCAGGAATGCACTTCCTCTGCTTTTCGTCTGATATTTTCCCCTCGTCTAAGGCAGCACATCTATTTCCTATTGGAATTCCCTTTGCTCGTTTTTCTTCCCTACTCTGAGCCATAAGCAAGCACTGATTTTTCGGTTTCTGTGAAATGCCTGTTCTGAACATTCCATATATATGGAATAATCAGATAGCTAGTTTTTTGTGATAGGCTTCTTTCACATAGCATGTTTTGAAGATGAATCTATGTTGTAACATGTTTCTTAAATGTTTTTAAAGATTTATTTATTTATTTGAAAGAGTTACACAGGGAAAGGAGAGGCAAAGAGAGAGAGAGAGAGAGAGAGAGAGAGAGAGAGAGAGAGGTCTTCCATCAGCTGGTTCACTCCCCAGGTGGTTGCAATGGCCGGAGCTGCACCAGTCTGAAGCCAGGAGCCAGGAGCTTCCTTCGAGTGCACATGGTGCATGCAGGTGCAGGGCCCAAGCACTTGGGCCATCTTCTGCTGCTTTCCCAGGCCACAGCAGAGAGCTGGATCGGAAGTGGAGCACCCGGGACTCGAACCGGCACCCATATGGGATGCCGGCACTGCAGGTGGTGGTGGCTTTACCCACTATGCCACAGTGCCAGCCCTTGTAGCATTCTTAATGATAAAATTAAAGTGATGGATTAATGTTTGCAGATGTTTAGTGACATGGAAGGAGATGAGATGATTGTGACTATAAAGGGATAGCATAAAAGATCTATGTAGTTGAAAAAAGTTTTTATGTTTATTTTGATGGTGGTTACACAGATCTATACAAGCAACAAAATTGCATAGAACTTTGGAAAAACTGCATATTCAGCTGCAAAACAATGCAGTTGAACTCCTGCTTTATACCACATATAAAAATTAATTCAGAACATATGAAAGATCCAAGCATAAGAGAAGAAATTATAAAACTCTTAGAAGAAACAGGGAGAAAAAAAGAACAAAAAAAACCAGGAACAAATCTTCATGAACTTGGATTGGGCAGTGGTTTCTTAGATGTGAGACAAAAAACACAAACAACAAAAGAAAAAAATGTGGAGGGATGACATTGTGACACAGTGGGTTAAGGGCACTGCAGGTGGCGGCTTTACTTGCTATGCCACAGCACTGACCCCATGTCATTTTTATTTATTTATTTGTTTAAGATTTATTTATTTATTTGAAAGTCAGAGTTACACAGAGAGAAGGAGAGGCAGAGAGAGAGAGAGAGAGAGAGAGAGAGAGAGAGGTCTTCCATCCACTGGTCTACTCCCCAGATGGCCACAATGGCTGGAGCTGCACCAGTCTTAATCCAGGAGCCAGGAGCCTCTTCCGGGTCTCCCACGTGGGTCCAGGGACCCAAGGATCTGGGCCATCTTCTACTGCTTTCCCAGGCCATAGCAGAGAGCTGGATTGGAAGTGAAGCAGCCAGGACTTGAACCGGCACCCATATGGGATGCTGGCACCGCAGGCAGTGGCCTTACCCACCATGCCATGGCGCCAGCCTTGTCATTTTTATTTTTAAGACTATTGAGGAGCCGGTGCTGTGGCATAGTATTGAACCAGCTTTGTATCCCTGAAATAAATCCTAACTCATTGTGATATATTATTATTTTATATGTTGTTGAATTCTCTTTATTTTATTTATTTATTTATTTTTTTTTTTTTGAGAGGAGGAAGGGGCAAGAAGGAGAGAGCACTCCATCTTCTGGTTCACACCCCAGGTACCCACATTGATCAGGGCCAGGCCAAGCTGAAGCCAGGAGCCAGAAACCCCATCTGGGTCTCCCATGTGGGTTGCAGGTGCCCAAGTACTTGAGTGATCACCTGCTGTCTTCCCATGGTGCATTAGCAGAAAATTGGAGTTAAGAGAAGAGCTAGACTCAAACCCAGGCACTCCAATATGGAATGCAGGCATTGCAACCTGTGGTTTAGGCTAGGTAAGACACCTGCCCCAAGTCACTGGATTATATTTGTTAATGTTTTGTTTAGGATTTCTGTATCAATGTAAATGAGTACATTGTTCCGTAAGGCTTCTCTTTTTTGTACTGAATTTGTCTGATTTTCATTTCAGGATAATACCAGCTTCATAAAATCAGTTGGCATTCCCATCTCTTTTCTGGAAGAGATTGTGTAGCATTGATGATGTTTAGATGTTTGGTAGGATTCTTTAGTGAAACCATCTGGATCTGGAGGTTTCTCTTCCTAGGAGTTTAATGTCCTTAATAGTTACAGAGCCATTCAAATTATCTATTTCATGTTGAATCAGTTGGGATAGTTCTGTTTTTGAGAAATTGGCATATTTCTTTTATTTTTTCAAAGATTTTATTTATTTGATAGGTAGAGTTACAGAGAGAGAGAGGGAGAGACAGAGAGAAGGTTTCCATCCACTGGTTCCCTCTGTAAAATGGCTGCCACGGCTGGAGCTGGGCTGATCTGAAGCCAGGAGCTTCTTTTGGGTCTTATGCAGGGTTCCAAGCACTTGGGCTATTTTCTGTTTTCTCAGGCCATAGCAGAGAGCTGCATCAGAAATGGAGCAGCTGGGACTCCCACCCGCACCTATATGGGATGCCAGCACCACTGGCAGAGGCTTAGCTTACTGCGCCACAGCACCAGCTCCAGGTATATTTCTTTTTAAAAAGTTATTTATTTATTCATCTATTTATTTGATGGGTAGAGATACAGAGAAAGGAAGAGACAGAGAGAAAGGGAGCTTCCCTCTGCTGCTTCACTCCCAGAATGCCCACAATAGCTAGATTAGGCCAAGCCAAAGCCAAGAGCCTGGAACTCATCTTTGTCTTCCACTTAGATGGTAGGGAACCAAGTTCTTCATATATCATCCAGTGCCTCCAGGTTAACAGGATGATGGATTAGAAGGTGGAGGCAAGACTTGATCCCAAGCTCATGGGTATGGGATATGGGATGGGAGGGGGTCTCCCAATCAATGGCTTAACCCATGGTGCCACAACATGTATCCCAGAAATTGGTCTATTTCAAATTATCAAATCTGTCAATACAGAGTTGTTTATAAGTATTTATTATCCTCTGTTGTGTTTTGTTTTGTTTTAAAGATTTATTTAGTTATTTGAGAGTCAGAGCTACACAGAGAGACGAGAGGCATAGAGAGAGAGAGAGAGAGGACTTCCATCCGATGGTTCACTCCCCAGATGGCTGCAATGGCCAGAGCTGAGCCGATCTGAAGCCAGGAGTCAGGAGCTTCTTCTGGGTCTCCCACACGGGTGCAGGGGCCCAAGGACTTGGGCCATCTTTTACTGCTTTCCCAGGCCATAGCAGAGAGCTGGATGGGAAGTAGAGCAGCCGGGTTTTGAACCGGTGCCCATATGGCCAGGGCGTTAACCCGCTGCGCCACAGCACCAGCCCAGGTTTTTTTTTTTTTTTAAGTTATTTATGTATTTTGAAAGAATTACAGAGAGAGGGGCTGGCGTTGTGACGCAGTAGGTTAGTCTTCCACCTGTGGCACTGGCATCCCATATGGGCACTGGTTCTAGTCCCAGTTGCTCCTCTTCTCATCCAGCTCTCTGCTGTGGCCTGGGAAGGCAGTGGAAAATGGCCCAAGAGCTTGGACCCCTGCACCCAGAAGAAGATCTTGCTCCTGGCTTTGGATCATCTCAACTCCAGCCATTGCAGAAATTTGGGGAGTGAACCAGCAGATGGATTACCTTTCTCTCTGTCTCTCCCTCTCACTGTCTGTAACTCTACCTCTCAAATAAATAAGTAAAATCTTGAAAAAAAAATTACAGATTACAGAGAGAGAGAGAGAGAGAGAGAGAGGAGAGATCATCCATCCACTGGTTTACTCCCCAGAAGGATGCAACGGCGGGCGCTGAGCCATGCCAAAGCCAGGAGCCAGTTGCTTCATCTTGGTCTCCCACATGGGTGCAGGGGCCCAAGCACTTGGGCCATCTGCTGCTGCTTTTCCCAGGCCATTAGTAGGGAACTAGATAGGAAATGGAGCAACTGGGACATGAACTAGTGCCTATTTGGGATGCTGATGCCACAATGCCAGCCCCTCTTTTGTTCTTTTACAAGGTACATTATAATTTTTAAAATATATGTTTATTTTCATTTTATTTGAAGTGCAGAGACCAAGATCTTCATCCACTGGTGTACTCCCTAAATCCCCGGAATAGCCAGGGCTGGGCCAGGCGAAAGTCAGGAGCCTGAAACTCCATCCAGGTGTTCCATGTGGGTGGCAGTGACCCAAGTGCTTGAGCCATCACCTGTTGCTTTCTAGGCATATTTTACTTTGATGTTTGACTAGAGTAGGCTGTGTATTATCAGAATGACTTTCTGGTCTGCTAGGCCACCCTTTCCCCAGCCACTTAACTAAAAGGAACAAAAAGGAACAAGTATTTCCTGGGTCTCGACATTTTTTTTTAACAGTTTCAGGATGCAGGCTTCTTCTGCACCCTATATGGAATGTGTGAGAGACAAAAAGAAAGCCCCAGACTACTCAGCCCTGCAGTGTTGTTTAATTCCTAAGATCCTTAGACAATCTACCGTGTCATTTTCACCCTCCACACTTTTGTTATGACATCAAGGTGTTATTTTTTCTTTTAAAATTTTTTGACAGGCAGAGTTAGACAGCGTGAGAGAGAGAGAGAGAGAGAGACAGAGAGAAAGGTCTTCCTTCCATTGGTTCACCCCCCAAATGGCCGCTACGGCCCAACCCATGCCGATCTGAAGCCAGGAGCCAGGTGCTTCCTCCTGTTCTCCCATGTGGGTGCAGGGCCCAAGCACTTGGGCCATCCTCCCCTGCATCCCCGGGCCACAGCAGAGAGCTGGACTGGAAGAGGAGCAACCGGGACAGAATCTGGCATCCTGACTGGGACTAGAACCTGGTGTGCTGGTGCCGCAGGCAGAGGATTAGCCAAGTGAGCCACGGCACTGGCTTTTCTTTTAAATTTTAAGAGGGAGGATTAGTGAGAAATAGGTCATTGATTCTTAATTTTTTAATATTTCCTTCTACTTTTTTTAAAAAAAGATTGATTTCAAAGGCAGAGAAATTGACAGAAAGTGAGGGAGACACACACACACAGAATAAGAGAATATTTTCCATGCCCTAGTTCATTCCCCAAATGGCTGCAACTGCTGGTTCTGGGTCAGGCTAAATCCAGGAGCCAGGAACTCCCACATGGCAGTCAGGGGCCCAAGCACTTGGGCCATCTTCCTCTGCTTTCCCACACACATTAGCAGAGAGCTGGATCAGAGGTGGAGCAGCTGGAACTGGAACCCGTGCTCATATGTGATGCTGGCATTGCAAAAGGTGGCTTAACCTGCTGTGCCACGGGTTCTTCTTTCTTTAGATACACTTTCTGTTATTCATGTGATTTCTTGAGTTTCCTGCTTGTTCATGTATTGCTTGTTGGAATACTTCATGTGTTATTGTTGAAATATATTGGAATAAATATGTGCATGCAATGCTATGCCTTTTTTATGAGTACCACTTTAGTTGTGTATCATGGGTTTTGATGGGTGCCGATTTCCTTGCTGATCATCTCTGAACAGTTTATAATTTCTGTTTTGATTCTCTATTTAACTCAAGGGTTATTTAGAAGAGTGTTTTTGGAAATGCCAAGTGGCTAGATGGGAGGCGGAGCTGTCCTTTGAGCCCGCATATTTCCACATAATACCAAGCAGTTGCTCAGGGAGCTGTGCGTCTTCAAAGAACCTCTCATGGGAAATGAGATTGGGAATTGGGGTCCCTGCTTTCCTTTCCCTACTTTCATTCTTCAGCTGTTTATTGTATTATTGTATACTTACTATATGCAGTAAGATGTTTGATATTAACCAGGAGAAAAAGAAAGTAGAAACCTAGTTCCTGCCTTCAGGAAACATAGTATCTGGTTGATGTGATGATATGTTTGTACAAACCAGCACAATAGCAATATCTGTCAGTAGTGACTACATTATGGGCACTGGGCATTCAGGGACAAGGGGAATAAGTGTAGACTAAAGTAGTTGCGGGGAAGAGCTCTTGGAGGAGAGGAAGGTATTTGGGTTAGATTTTTAAAAAAGATTTATTTATTGGGGCCGGTGCTGTGGCGTAGTGGGTAAAGCTGCTGTCTGCAGCACTGGCATCCCATATGGGCGCCGGTTCGAGCCCCGGCTGCTCCACTTCCCATCTAGGTCTCTGCTGTGGCCTAGGGCAGCAGTGGAAAATGGCCCAAGTCCTTGGGCCCCTGCACCCATGTAGAAGACCCGGCAGAAGCTCCTGACTCCTGGCTTCGGTTCGGCACAGCTCCAGCCATTGCAGCCAACTGGGGAGTGAACCAGCAGATGGAAGACCTCTCTCTCTCTGCCTCTCCTCTGTGTAACTCTGACTTTTAAAATAAATAAATAAATCTTTTTTTGAAAGTCAGAGTTAGGGAGAGGGAAAGAGCGAATGAGCTTCCATCCACTGGGTCACGCCCCAGATGACCATAACAGCCAGCGCTGGGCCAGGCTGAAGCCAGGAGCTCTGTCCAGGTCTCCCACATGAGTGGTAGGGGCCCAAGCACTCAGACCGTCTCCTGCTGCCTTTCAGAGGCCGTTACCAGGAAGCTGGATCAGAAGTGAAGCAGCTGGAACTCTAACTAGCACCCGTATGGATGCCAGCGTCACAGGCGGCAGCTTTATGCACCATGCTGCAATGTTGGCCCCATGAGTTGGATCTTAACAGATAATAGGACTTAAAAATATACAGAGAGGAAATGGAAGGCTCTTGCAGGAGCCAGAAGATTGGCATAGGCAAAGGCTACTATGGCTGGAAACGGGAAAGTTGAGTTGTGGTGGGAGAGGACAAGGCATCAATTTTAGTTTTGTTGGGTTTTGGATGATTATAGAATATCCTAGTGGAAGATATCCTGGAAATTATTGATCCTCATTTAGTGATAAACTAGTTCAGTTTAGCTTTGTCCAAAACAGTAGTTCATTCTGTCTTGTTTCGGTTGGGTATATGTGTCATAGGCAGTATTCCAGGTAGCTTCTTCCTACCCCTCCTGATCTACAATGTACTGGTTTATACCGTGCTCTATGCCCTAGGAGGCTAATCTGGATGAACTACATCAATAAGTCCCTTTCCCTTCCTGGCTTCCGGTAGGGTTTGAGCAGTGGAGTTCCATGGTGTGTCATCAAAGGGGAGGAAGAGACCGAGGTCAGGGTGTTTATTCTTGGCTTCCTCCTTGCAGGATTGCCTGAGGCTAGATACTGTCCCTTAATTAAAGGTCATGGCTCCTCTTTTTTGTTTAAAGATTAATTTATTTATTTGAAAGTCAGGGTTACACAGAGAGAGGTCTTCCATCTGATGGTTCACTCCCCAGTTGGCCAGAGCTGCACCGATCTAAAGCCAGGAGCTTCTTCCGGGTCTCCCACGTGGGAGCAGGGGCCCAAGCACTTGGGCCATCTTCTGCTGCTTTCCCAGGCCATAGCAGAGAGCTGGATGGGAAGTGGAGCAGCCAGGTCTCGAACTGGCGCCCATGTGGGATGCTGGTGCTTCAGGCCAGGGCGTTAACCCACTGCACCACAGCGCTCCTCTTAAGGGAACTCTGTATTCCACATTTTCCTTTTTAAAAAATCTGGCATCTGTTCCTCCTGTCATCCTTTTGGGTGTAGGGAATGGTAAGAGCCCAAGGAACTGCACTGTCTCTCCCTCTTGGGTCCTCACCCCCTGCCCACACCTTTTCACTAATTATGCTAATTTGAGGGCACCATCTGTTTCCTGCTGGGACCCGGAATGATACAGATGAGGTCTCAATTTTCAAGGAATTAGAATACAATGAAATAAGCCTAACAAAATAGGACTAAATGTGATTCAATCTGTTTCTCTCTGATTAATCTAGACTCTTGCAGTTTGTTCAGATAATCATTCTGAACTACATTCTTCAGAGAACCATCGATGTGGGGGAGTGTCAGTTCATGGAATATTAATAATAACTTGCATTCATTAATTACCTTTCCCATGCAATGTACTAAGCATTTTTTTTTAGATTTGATTTATTTATTAAACAAGTAGAGTTACAGAGAAAAGGAGAGACAGAGAGAAAGGTCTTCCATCCGCTGCTTAACTCCCCAAATGTCCACAATAGCTGGAGCTGGGCGGATCTGAAGCCAGGAGCCAGGAGCATTCTCCAAGTCTCCTATATGGGTTCAGGGGCCCAAGGACTTGGGCTATCCTCTATTGCTGTCCCAGGCCAAAGCAGAGAGCTGGATTGAAAGTCAAGCAGCTGGGACATGAACTGGTACCCATATGGGATGCTGGCACTGCAGGCAGAGGCTTAGCCTACTACACCACAGCACAGGCCCCCATCTAAGCATGTTTTTTATATTATATAATATTTCACTTAACCTCAGCAGCCCCATGAAGTAGGTAATTTTTAAAATCTATTTTGTGGCTGGCGCCGCGGCTCAATAGGTTAATCTTCCACCTTGCGGCGTCGGCACACTGGGTTCTAGTCCCGGTTGGGGCACCGGATTCTGTCCCGGTTGCCCCTCTTCCAGGCCAGCTGTCTGCTATGGCCCGGGAGTGCAGTGGAGGATGGCCCAAGTGCTTGGGCCCTGCACCCGCATGGGAGTCCAGGAGAAGTACCTGGCTCCTGGCTTCAGATCACCGCAGCAGCCATTGGGTGAACCAACGGTAAAGGAAGACCTTTCCCTCTCTCTCTCTCTCTCACTGTCCACTCTGCCTGTCAAAAAATAAATAAATAAAAAATAAAATCTATTTTGTGGCACTGGCACTGTGGCGTAGCAGGTAAAGCTGCTGTCTGCAGGGCCAGTATCCCATTTGGGTGCTGGTTCCAGTCCCAGCTCCTCTGCTTCTGATCCACCTGGGAAAGCAGTGGAGGATGGCCCAAGTGCCTGGGCCCCTGCCATCCACATGGGAGACCTGAAAGAAACTCCTAACTCCTGACTTTGGCCTGGCCTAGCTCAAGTTCTTACAACCATTTGGAGAGTGAAACAACAGATGGAAGAGTGCTCTCTCTCTATCTGTGTGTGTGTGTATGTGTGTGTGTGTATATAACTGCGTGTAACTGCCTTTTGAATAAAATAAATCTTTAAAAACATTTTAAAAAATAAAATATTTTGTATAGGCAAGGAAACTAAGGCTCAGAGAAATTAAATACCCTGCCAGAGAGTTCACAGCTAAGAAACAGCAGAGTTGGGTTTGAGATTCAGGTCTGTCTGACTCCATAGCTTGTGTTCTAAAGTCAAAGTGTGGTCTTCAGATCAGTAGCATTTATGAGCTTGTTAACCCTCACCCTAACCCTAGAAGTCAGAAATGTTAGAAATTTAGGCTCAGCCGGCACCATGGCTCACTTGGCTAATCCTCTGCCTGCGGCACCGGCACCCCGGGTTCTAGTCTCAGTTGCTCCTCTTCCAGTCCAGATCTCTGCTGTGGCCCAGGAGTGCAGTGGAGGATGGCCCAAGTGCTTGGGCCCTGCACCCGCATGGGAGACCAGGAGGAAGCACCCAGCTCCTGCCTTCAGATCGGCATGCAGTGCCGGCCGTGGCGGCCATTGGGGGAGTAAACCAACAGAAGGAAGACCTTTCTCTCTGTCTCTCTCTCACTGTCTATAACTCTCTCTCTCTCTCTGTCTCTCTCTCTCACTGTCTAACTCTGCTTGTCAAAAAATATAAATATAAAAGAAACGTAGACTCTCAGGGCTAGCATTGTGGCATATCATGTTAGGCTGCCACCTGAGACGCCAGCGCTGGTTAAAGTCCTGGCTGCTCCACTTCTGATCTGGCTTCCTGCTGATGCACCTGGGAAAGCAGCAGAAGATGGCCTAAGTGCTTTGGCTCCTGCACCTATGTGGGAGACCTGGAAGAAGCTCTGAGCTCCTGGCTTTGGCCTAGCCCAGCCCTGGCTAATGTGGCCATTTGGAGAGTAAACCAACTGATGGAAGATCTCTTTGTCTGTCTCCCTCCCTCCCTCTGTAACTGTGCCTTTCAAATAAATTAATAAATTTTTAGAAAGAGAAATAAAGCATGAAATGATTACTCTATGAAATGTGCTCTGTTTCACTAGTCATCAGGAAAATCAAACTAAAACCACAGTGAGATACTACTATACACCTATCACGGTGACTATAATGAGACAATTGATGTATGATGCATTGATGAAGATTTGTATGTTTTGAAACTTTTAAAAAAGATTGAGTTACTTGAAAGGCAGAGTTACACAGAGAGAGGGAAAGACCAAGAGAGAGATCTTCTACCCTCTGGTTTACTTCCCAAAATTATTGCAATGGTGAGGGCTAGGCCAGGCCAAAGCCAGGAGCTTCTTCCATATCTCCCACATGGGTAGCAGGGTTCCTAACACTTGGGCCATCTTCTGCTGCTTTCCCAGGGGTGTTAGAAAGGAAGCTGGACCAGAAGTGGAGCAGCTGGGTCTTGAACTGGTGGCCATGTAGGATGCCAGTGTTGCAGGTGTCAGCTTAACCTGCTATGCCACCATGCAGGCCCCTCTTTTGGAACTTTTGAACACTGTTGGTGCTATTGTAAATTGGTACACCTACTCTGGAAAGCTAGTTGGCAGTATCTACTAAAGCTGAACTTACCCTAAGGACCAAGTCATTCTATTCCTAGACGTTTAATCAAGAGAAACTCTCCCATGTGTAGATCAGAATACACAGTATAAAAGGAGTCTTTAGAAAGTTCGTGGAAGAAAATCTATTATGGAAAAAGTCTTCATGGGTTTCATTTTTTTTTTCATGAAAATAAACTTACCTTTTTATTCAATTTTCCATGTACTTTTTAAGTACTCTTGTATAATAACATAAACTACTAGCCTACTTTATTATATAAGGTAGTGTTTGCAGTACATGCACAAATAGTAAAAGGCAAGAAAGTGTCATGAAATGTACAAATATATGCAGTCAGTTGCAGAGCTACCCCAAGCCGGTGTCCCTTATGCTTCCTTGACCTGAGTAAGAGGCATCACAGTTCAAAGGGTCTAAGTGTTTTTTCCGCATCTTCACTGTGTCCTGGCCGGGAATGCTGGGTCTGACCTGTTTAAGGGTATCAGTACACAATGTGAAACGCTGGTAAGCAGGCGACTCTCCCAAACTTAAAGCTCAACTCCTCTAGCACTTCTTTTTTTCTTTTTTTTAACTTTTATTTAATAAATATAAATTTCCAAAGTACAACTTTTGGATTATGGTGGCTTTTTTCCCCCCATAGCCACCCTCCCACCTGCCGCCATCCCATTCCCTCTCCCACTCCCTCTCCCATCCCATTCTTCATCAAGATTCATTTCCAGATATCTTTATATACAGAAGATCAACTTAGTATATACTAAGTAAAGATTTCAACAGTTTGCACCCATACAGAAACACTAAGTATAAATAAAGTACTGTTTGAGTACTAGTTATACCGTTAATTCACATAGTACTACATATTAAGGACAGAGATCCTACATGGGGAGTAAGTGCATAGTGATTCCTGTTGTTGGTTTTTTGTTTTTTTTTTGACAGGCAGAGTGGACAGTGAGAGAGAGAGACAGAGAGAAAGGTCTTCCTTTGCCGTTGGTTCACCCTCCAATGGCCGCCGCGGCCGGCGCGCTGCGGCCGGCGCACCGCGCTGATCCGATGGCAGGAGCCAGGAGCCAGGTGCTTTTCCTGGTCTCCCATGGGGTGCAGGGCCCAAGCACCTGGGCCATCCTCCACTGCACTCCCTGGCCACAGCAGAGAGCTGGCCTGGAAGAGGGGCAACCGGGACAGAATCCGGCGCCCCAACCGGGACTAGAACCCGGTGTGCCGGCACCGCTAGGCGGAGGATTAGCCTAGTGAGCCGCGGCGCCGGCCTCCTGTTGTTGATTTAACAATTAACACTTTTATTTATGACATCAGTACTTACCCGAGGCTCTTGTCATGAGCTGCCAAGGCTATGGAAGCCTCTTGAGTTCGCCAACTCCAATCTTATTTAGACAAGGTCATAGTCAATGTGGAAGTTCTCTCCTCCTTTCAGAGAAAGGTACCTCCTTCTTTGATGGCCCATGCTTTCCATTGGGATCTCACTCACAGAGACCTTTCATTTAGGTCATTTTTTTTTTTGCCACAATGTCTTGGCTTTCCATGCCTGAGAAACTATCATGGGCTTTTTAGCCAGATCCGAATGCCTCAAGGGCTGATTCTGAGGCCAGAGTGCTGTTTAGGACATCTGCCATTCTATGAGTCTGCTGTGTATCCTGCTTCCCATGTTGGATTGTTATCTCCTTTTTAATTGTATCAGTATTAGCAGACACTAGTCTTGTTTATGTGATCCCTTTGACACTTAATCCTCTCATGATTAATTATGAACTGAAACTGATCACTTTGACTAGTGAGATGGCATTGGTACGTGCCACCTTGATGGGATTAAATTGGAATCCCCTGGCACTCTTAACTCTACCATTAGGAGTAAGTCTGAGTGAGCATGTGCTGAACTGTACATCTCCTCCCTCTTTTATTCCCACTCATATTTAACAGGGATCACTTTAAATTTAAACACCTAAGTTAAATTTAAACACCTAAGAATAATTGTGTGTTAATTAAAGAGTTCAACCAATGATATTAAGTAGAACAAAAAAATACTAAAAGGAATAAAGTTATTCCTCGACAGGACAAGGGCTGATCAAGTCATTGTTTCTCATAGTGTTCATTTCACTTCAGCAGGTTTCCTTTTAGGTGCACAGTTAGTTGTCACCCATCATGGAGAACATATGATATTTGTCACTTTGGGACTGGCTTATTTCACTCAGCATGATATTTTCCAGATTCCTCCATTTTGTTGCAAATGACCAGATTTCATTTTTTTAACTGCTGTATAGTATTCTGTAGAGTACTGCCTGTGCCTCCGGGGTCTTTTCCAAGAAGTCTTTGCCTGTGCCTGTATCTTGTAGGATTTCTCCGATGTTCTCTAATACTTTGATGGTGTTGGGTCATAGATTTAGGTCTTTAATCCATGTTGAGTGGATTTTTGTGTAAGGTGTAAGGTAGGGGTCTTGCTTCATGCTTCTGCACATGGAAATCTAGTTTTCCCAGCACCATTTGTTGAATAGACTGTCCTTGCTCCAGGAATTGGTTTTAGCTCCTTGGACAGTGAGAGAGACAGAGAGAAAGGTCTTCCTTTTCCGTTGGTTTACCCCTCAATGGCCACTGCAGCTGGCGCGCTGCAGCCGACACACTGTGCTGATCCAAAGCCAGGAGCCAGGTGCTTCTCCTGGTCTCCCTTGCGGGTGCAGGGCCCAAGCACTTGGGCCATCCTCCATTGCACTCCCGGGCCATAGCAGAGAGCTGGACTGGAAGAGGAACAACTGGGACAGAATCCAGTGCCCCAGCTGGGACTAGAACCTGGTGTGCCGGCGCCGCAGGCAGAGGATTAGCCTATTGAGCCACGGCGCTGGCCAGTACCATGCACTTCTTAGCCAGCTGTGACTAACTCTGGCAGCTGGCACCAGACCCCAAACCCAACCCAGATAACCAAAAAGATGCAAATGGTCTCTGGTGTAATTGAAATGAACCATTGGCAAAGTGCTTGGATCAAAATTCTAAGTTCTGGGCACAGTGCTGTGGTGTAGCAGGTAAAGCTGCTGCCTGCAGTGCTGGCATCCCGTATGTGTGTTGGTTCAAGTCCTGGCTGCTCCACTTCCGGTTGGGCCCCTGCACCCACGTAGGAGACCCAGAGGAAGCTCCTAGCTTCAGATTGGCACAGCTCCAGCTGTTGGGGCCAACTGGGCAGTGAACCAGCCGATGGAAGACCTCTCTCTCTCTCTGCCTCTCCTTCTTTCTCTCTGTAACTCTGACTTTCAAATAAATAAATACATCTTTTTAAAGAATTCTAAATTCTGAACAATGCCGGTTGTAATGCAAATGGCTTATAGGATATTTAGCAGAAAACAGAATACTGGAAAAGGAAAGGCAGTACCTGGTTCCTGCTCTCTTGGATTTACTGTAGTTACTTTCTAGAAGTTTCTTGGTAATTGCCTTTAAACTCCCCAGGTTAAGACCTTGAAAAGCCATCACAAGGGTATATGAAGTAGAGTAAGAGTTTCAAAAAAGGGCTAAGAAGGAAGAAAAAAACAGGAGATTGGAGCATTGTGACTCAATGGGTTGGGCCACTGCCTGCGATGCCAACATCCCAAATGAGCACCTCTTGCAGTCCTGGCTGCTCCGTGTCCAAACCAGCTCCCTGCCAATGTGTTTGAGAAAGCAGCGGAAGATGACTTATGTCCCTGGGCCCCTGCCACCCATGTGGGAGACCTGGATGGAGTTACAGGCTCCTGGCCCGGTCCCAGCCATTTTTGGCCATTTGGGGAGTGAACCAGTGGATGGAAGATTCTCTCTCTCTTTCTCTCTAACTGCCTTTCAAATATTTTTTAAAAAAGAAGACTCTTTTGAATGGGTTTTTTCTGTTCTTTGATGATTGGAATGGATGGTCTGAGCAGCCTCTTAGGCATTTGATCCTGTAATGACTCATGAAAAGAGCCTTAAAAAAGGTTTGGGTTCTAGTCCTACCACCACTGGTTCAGTGACCTTATTCAAATCAATTAATCTCTTTGAACTTCAGATACCTCATCTATAAAATGGAGACAGTACAATCTGCCCTCTGTATCCATGGGTTCTACATCCAGATATTCTACCAACCTCTGATAGAACTTTTTTTTTTAATTGCTTCTGGGGACCAGCATTGTGGTACAGCGAGTTAAACTACTGCCTGTGACACTGGCATCCCATATCAGAGTGCCAGTTTGAGTCCCAACTGCTCCACTTCTGATCCAGCTCCTTGCTAATGTGCCTAGGGAAGCAGCAGAAGATGGCTCAAGTACCTGGACCCCTGCCATCCATGTGGGAGACCCTCATGGAATTCTAGGCTCCTGGCTTTGGCCTGGCTCAGCCTCAGCCATTGCTGCCATTGGGGGAGTGAGCCAGCTGATTGAAGATTCTCTCTCTCTCTTTCTCCCTGTCCTTGTAACCCTGCCTTTCAAATAAACCTTTTTCAAAAAATTGCTTCTGGATTGAACATACAGACTTTTATCTTGTCATTATTCCCTAAACAAGACAGTATAACAACAATTTGCACAGCATTTACATTATATTAGATTTTACAAGTGATCTAGAGATGACTTAAAGTACACAGGAGGATGCGTGTAGGTTATACATACATACTATACCATTCAAGATAAGGAAATTGAGCATCCATGATCCATGGTGTAGGGGGTGGGCTGGACCCAATCCCCTGCAGATGCTCAGGGATGACTATGACAGTATTTACCTGATATGACTATCGAGGTATGTGAAGTGCTCAAGCATGATGCATGGCCCAAGGTAAGTAATAAATTAATCATCATTCTTCTCCTTGTCTAAACACTGTCATTGAAGCAGAGGAGGAGAGCTTTTTGAATAGGAGAGGGAAGTCTGTTCTGTGTAATGCCAAATGCAGCACAGAGGTCAAGGAGAATGAGAATTGAGAAAAGGCAAGGGTTTTTAGACTTGATTAGAAATTCTCAGTGATATTTACATTTGAGACTTACCTTCTGAAGTCCTTGTTTTTACTGGAAATGGGAATCAGTTTAAAAAGAAATTCCATCACTTTTTGTGCTCAGGATACATATTTACTTTAAGTTCAGAGCGAGTGAGATTTGTCGGGAGAGTAAGAAGGGAGCTGCAGCTGTGGCAGCCAAAAGCAGACTTTGTGCGATGTGAAAATGTTCTGTATCATCACTGTCCAGTACGCATGGAGCTGTTGAGCGCTTGAAAGGCAGCTAGTGTGACTGAAGAACTGGAACTTTAATTTTGTTGAATCTTAATTAGCTTAAATTTCAATAGTCACATGTAAGTAGTGGACACCAAAATGGACAGTGCAGCTCTGTGTAATTAGGGATATACTACAAGAACAGTTAAATCCCAAAGTAATTGGAGTCAAACAGTAGAAACTTTACTGTTGGGGCTGGCTCCATGGCGCAGTTGGTTAATCCTCCGCCTGCGGCGCTGGCATCCCATATGGGTGCCCCTCTTCCAATCCATCTCTGCTTTGGCCCGGGAGGGCAGTGGAGGATGGCCCAAGTGCTTGGGCCCCTGTACCCACATGGGAGACTGGGAAGAGGCACCTGGCTCCTGGCTTTGGATCAGCGTATCTCCAGCAATTGCTGCCATTTGGGGAGTGAACCAATGGAAATAAGACCTTTTTCTCTGTCTCTCCCTCTCACTGTATGTAACTCTACCTGTCAAATAAATATATAAAATCTAAAAATAAAAAGAAACTTATTGTTCAGAAAAATTGGTGTCCTCTGGGTTGAATTTAAAGAGAGTCTTGTAGAGCAGGTGAAACTTAGTGTTTAGATAGGAGGAAAGAGGGCAAGAAGTTATTCCAGATGGATTGGAGGGGCAGAGGTTCTGAGTTGAAAATGCCTCATATATGAAAGTTTGAGGACAATGGCCATTCTAAAATAAGGCATTCATGTTAGGA